GGCGCCCGGCCCGGCCCCCGCCGCCCTCAGCCGCGGCGGGGCCGCGCTCAGCCCGCCCTGTCCCCCGCAGGGCTCTCGGTGCTGCGGGTGGCGTACGGGGACGTGTTTCAGCTCGGAGTCTTCTGCACGGACCCCATCCCCAAAGGAGTCCGCTTCGGTCCTTTCCAAGGCAAAGTGGTCAACACCAGCGAGATCAAGACTTACGACGACAATTCGCTGATGTGGGAGGTAGCGGAGGCACCGCCGGGCTCCCCCTGCACCCCCTAAACGGGGCCGGGGCGAGGCTTTCGGCCGCCCCTCTCCCGTAGGCTGCAAGAGGGGCTCGGCCCGGTGGGTGGGTGGTGGGATCGGTGGGAGCGGGACGTGTGTGGGAAGGGCCGGTCAAACTCGAATCCGGTTCTCGCCGCTCTCTAGATCTTCGAATATGGGCGGCTGAGCCACTTCATAGACGGGAAGGGCCCCTCTGGCAACTGGATGTCCCTGGTGAACTGTGCCAGGTTCCCCGAGGAGCAGAATTTGACGGCTATCCAGTGCCAAGGGCAAATCTTCTACGAGAGCTGCAAGGAAATCTTGCCGAAGCAGGAGCTGCTGGTGTGGTACGGCGATTGCTACGTGCAGTTTCTGGGCATCCCCATCAGCCTGAAGGGCATGCCGGAGGGGAAGAAACCCCCGCAGCACCCCGAAGGTGAGCCTGCCGACGACCCCTCCAGGGTCACTGTCCCTTATTCTCATGGACCTGTGTCTGCCCGGGATTAGATTCTTATAAAGGGGAGGTAAAGGAAATCGGGCATCACCTTATTTCGGCTCTATTTTCCGCTAAACTCTTCCCAGTCCCCGCGCTGAGCCGGTGGCGGGGTGACCGGGCCCCGCCGCGGGGATGCTCCGGGGTGGCGCCTTCCCTTGCAGCCTCCAGCACCCCAAAGAGCAGCTTTCCCCTCGGCACCGGGGAGCCCGGGGATCGCACCGGGGGCTGCTGCTCGCCCGGAGCCAGAGGCACCCCCTTCTGCCCCGGTGCCTTTGCCCCCCACCTCCCCTTCCCTCGGGGGGATGAAAGTGTTTCTTTAACCACAGCAAAACATCTGGTGGGGCTGGGCTGGGCTGGGCTGGCCTCGGCTCCGCAGCACCGTTGTTCGAGGGCGTCCCGTACTGGGAGGAGAGGGGCTTTTTAGGACCATTCTTGTTGCGGTCCTGTGTTATCCTGCGACTGCACACTCTTGATTTAATGATAGTTTTCCTGCAACGAACGCTCTCGGTAAATAAGGAAGGCTGAAGTCGTTCCGAGCTGGTAATGCTGCTATTGTTTGCAGAAGAAATGCCAAATGCACTTACTCCGGGAGTAGTTCTGCTTAGAAGGTGCATAAAGGACGACGTTCTTATGAGTAAAACTTGTGTGTGAAGAAAACGGATTTGTGGCAATGCAGGGAAAGCTGGAGCGGGTGAGGGATGGGGCAGCCGGGTGCCGCAGTGAGGGAGAGAAGCATTTGGCAAATTGGCATGGAAATTTGGCATGGAAATTTTTATAACTGTTGTCTTAAGGTGCCTGGTTCAGATAGCTGATAACTTGTTCATTTCGTTTTAAGGCTTAAGTTACTTTTATTAAAGGCAGAAAAGGATGTATAAACGTTTGAAAAAGTTCCTGTGTTGTTACTAAATTCAGCCGTTAAAAACAGTTTGAAATACAAAAGAAAACCAAATAAACGTGTTTTCGTTCGATAGCATTTTGAAAACGATAGAAAAGACGTGCAAATTTATTCTTCTTTGGGGGATGGGAGGTAAAATTTACGGACAATATTGATAATAAATACCTGGCAATGTTTCCGTGGGGGGAGATGCGGGACTCTGCGGTAGTTTTTCACGTGTTCGCTCGCTGTTTATGGAGACACAAGGATGAAATCCTGTCCTTGCTCAAGTCAGTGGCTGAAAACAATGATTTTATCAGGCTGTGGACTCTAGATTGTTCCCCTCCGTTAGAAAGTCAAGTGGAGAGGTGCGAACGCTTAAGAGATCCGACGTGTATTTTGTAAATGATATTGCCAGAATCCATGTACCGTTATTACCCTCCCGGAGACTTAAAATTCCCAATGGGGGACAAGAAAGCAGATTTGAAATGAGCCCCTTGCGCTGTGGTGTAACGGGGAGGTGGCACTTTCCCTTCTGCTGTACAGAAGCCGGGGAGAGCTTTAAGTGTGAGCGCTGCGGCAAGGTTTTTGCCTACAAGTACTACCGGGACAAGCACCTCAAGTACACTCGCTGCGTGGACCAGGGGGACCGCAAATTTCCTTGTCACCTTTGTAACCGATCCTTCGAAAAAAGAGACAGGCTGAGGATCCATATTCTCCACGTTCACGAAAAGCACAGACCACACAAGGTGAGCCTGCTCCTGGGTCTCTTCTGGGGGGATTAATTAAAGAGTCTTTTTCGGTCGAGGTAAGCTGCTGATGTTTCACCTCCTTCGGTTTTCCCGGCAGTTCCCTGGTGAGACCATTCTGCCAGTAAAGGAAAACTTTGCCTTATGCAGCAGAGTTTAGACAAATTTAATGGACTTATATTAGGAAAATAAACCCCACACTCTCAGAGAGAGTTTAGGGAAGAAAAAAAAAAAAAAAACAACAAAACCAAACCTAATTATCCTGGGCTTTTTTTGACGTTTGCATGTGTGGTTTGCTGCTTTTCTTACATGGTGTGGGGCTAAATTGTGTTTAAAGGTGCTCCACTTGTCCAGGAGAGACTTATGTCTCATGGCCCTGGAAGGTGCTCCACTTGTCCAGGATCAGGAGAGACTTATGTCTCATGGCCCTGGCTCCCCCCTTTCAGTATAAGAACTGACAGACATCTGTGCCTGTTGGACACAACAGAAGTTATAAGTTTTACGTTCAACGTGGAGCAGACTTCCAATTGATCAAAGCAAATCCTTGCTGTGATACTTGTGACACTCATCTCCACCAAACACCTGCCTGTAGCACCCATTTTCTCCAGGAGCATAGGGGTTGAAAATTAGACTTTTCCTAAAGGCTTGGAAAGGGCAAGTCCCAGTGCTTGAAATGGCATTGTTAAATCGGTCCTGAAAATCCTCCAAATACCTCTTTTATAGATCAGCCTGGAATAAGGTGATTTTTCTTCAGGAAAAGCTTTTATAACTAAATCAGCAATATTGCAATATCAGAATATCACACTGATTTAGTAAATGTTAAGAAATACATTCCTGTTTAATATAAGATATTAAATATCATGTAACCTTTCCTTTCACTAAGTGCTGTGACTGTTAGATCATTTCTGAAAAAAGATTACTATTTTAAAGGTCCCTTTGAATATTTTTTTAATAGGAATTTTATCTTGTTAAGTAAAAATTCAAAATGGCGAAATGGCAACTAGAGCTTCATTTGCATTTTGAAGAAAATGATTATTTTACAAAAATTTTCAGGTTTTGATTACTGAAAGTCAATATATTCTGTTAAGGTTCTGAAGGAAATTCTATTGAAACATTTTTAACAGCACACAAACAAGCTTTGAAATTTTGCAGTTTCCCTTTTTGAAAACCAAAACATATGTAAAACCATATAAAAATTCTGACTGTATTTCAAATTATTACTGCTTAAATTACTACTGTTTGTATATCCATAAATACATATCTATATGTATATAGATAAAAATATGTATATACATAAATGCATGTAGGAAAATGCATGCGTACATCTTCCACATACCTCATTTTTTTTTTCAGCTATGCTGTTGTGTGCTTCCTTTTAAACATTATCTTTTTTTTCCCCCCCCAGTGCTCAGTGTGTGGGAAGAGCTTTTCTCAGTCCTCCAGCCTGAACAAACACATGAGGGTTCACTCCGGTGAGCGCCCCTACAAATGTGTCTACTGCAACAAGGTAAGGCAAAGCCCTGTCTCTCAGTCTGTCTTCTGCTGCGTTCAGCATCACGCCACACCTGAGGGGGTGGCTCTTTCCGTGTTTCCATTCTTGTTTTCATTTTTTAATTTTTCTGTCTTTTTTGTTTTCCAAGAAAATGCCTTATATTTTAAATGATAACCAGATAAGTGAGTATATTTTCTGGGCACAGTTGTGTGTTGAAGCTCAGAGAGCTGCTGTGGGGATAAGGTCTAGGAAAGCTTGAGAGCATTTCGAATACCATTGAAAGCACGCAGCGAAATCCAATATCCCTCTTTTTCATCAGCTAGATAGGGAGTTTTTGATATGACTGACACTGCTTCTGGAGTGCAGTGAACTGATTTGGCCGTAAGCTGAACCTGCACGATGTGACTTTGTGCGTGCTTACCTTGAAGTAACGGGGCCGTTGATGTGCAATTTGGCATGGAGGTTTCATTTGAAAAAGAGCATGAATAGAGCCATACAGCACTGATGAAAATTGTGCTCAGCTGTTGTTACCTTTCCCAGCAGGGATGATTCAGGTGAGCTCTCCTTGTGAGAGTAGTGACAGCTCTCCCAGCAGATGCAGGGTGGATGCTGCTGCTGGATGAATAGCGGCAGGGCTCTAGATGCTACGGAGTGTTCCTGCGATGCAGAAGCACCACCAGCATGGAGTAAGGTGCTTCTGGTTTTGGAGAGAGAGAAGTTTTGTTTATGACTAGCTGGACTAACACAGAGCTGAAGTGTCCTGTAGTAAAGAACCTTAGCTCCTCTTGGCCATTATATTTTTTTTCTCTCCCAGACATTCTGAACACTTGTAGGCAGAGTTTAGGATGAAAATGTCATCCTTTAATCTTCCCATCAGGAAGAGATGGCAGAGCTTTACAGGTTACTCTGTGAACAGATCTCTAGCGCATGAAGAACCCCTGACCAGCCCCCAGCCATTCTGGTAGGACTGTTGCCAATTGGATCAGATGAAACCATTAGTCCTCAGGCTGCAGGATGCAGCTATCCTGGGACATAACCATCTTTTCTGTGGCTGGGAAACCAGGGAATACTTTAAAGCATCCTCACCTGCTACTCCTACACAATCACAACTTCTCTTTGCCTCTTCTACCTCTAACGGGGGCTCTGCTCCAGGGCAGCTTTGCTTTCCCTGCCTCTTTGCTCGCTATCTTGGTAAGATCCTGAGATTAAAGGAAAAGTGTTGGGCCAAAATCACCTTGGGCCATAAAACATGCTTTGGCCATGTTGATAAACATCTCCAGGGGCTTCTCTATAGGGATCTCAGATCTGTTTGTGCTCCAAGGTTCCCAGTGAAAAGATAATCTGAGATAAATTGCTCTTTGCTGTGAAAACTTAACTTGTGATGGCTCAGTAACATATCTGTACTAAAGAGGATTTTTTTGTGTGTGATCTGCAAATAGTGAAGGGCCTGAAAGTGTCTCTTGGGAAAAGAAAAAACGGGGATAACATGGGCTACTTTGCAACTTTCCTGCTCAAGTTTTGGTGAGAGGATTTTCTCCCCAAATGCAGGAGGAATCTTTACAAAGGGGACAGAGTGTGATTATGCCCATTTTGATACTCCTGAGGGGGGAAATCAGGCTGGAATGTCTGACTGAAGGAAGAGCAGAGTATGATGGAGGGAGAAAATGAACCCCGAAAAGTTGAGTGCCGGACTGACTCCATGGATGAATTCTGGCAGCTGAATCCCAGGGCAGTGTGTGTAAACATGAAAGGGTTTCACTCTGAAAATGAACCTGCGTTGTCTCCCAAACATAAAATAGTTGCAAAGCTAATTAGGATGCTGTTGACTTCTTGCCCTTTGACATGTAGAAGGTATTTATTGGTGTCTCTAGTCAGCAATCTTTCTCTGAACTTCATCTAACTCCATGGACTCAGCCACATCTGTATAGCTGAGTGCCACAGCTGTTGGCTTCTGGTGCCTTGTTGCTGGGAGTTTGTATTTTTTCTCTAGTTACCTAAGGATGTGAGCTATTTGGGGACTTACTTTTAGGGCACAGTTCTTCTGACGGGGTCTGGGTTAGCTGAACCTGGGGATTAGATGTGTGAAAACAGATTAATTTCAACCCCTCCCCCCTTTCCCATCCCTGCCCTTCCAGGCATTCACAGCATCCAGCATCCTGCGCACTCACATCCGCCAGCACTCGGGGGAGAAGCCCTTCAAGTGCAAGCACTGCGGCAAAGCCTTCGCCTCGCACGCAGCCCACGACAGCCACGTGCGCCGCACGCACAGCAAGGAGAAGGTCTCCACTTGCTTGGTGTGCGGCCAGCACTTCCTGCAGCAGGAGGATTGCCACTTCCACATGAAGATTCACACCACTCATTAGTCAAAAGCCCCACGGATGCGTCCTGGACCAGCTTTGCTTGCGTATCAGTCTATGTGCATGTGTTTGTGTGTGGTTGTGTGCACGCCGCAGGAGGTGACATCGACCCTTGCAGCAACTTTTTGGGTACATCCAATCTCTGGACCCTGGGTGTATTTCTGAGTGCAGAGGATGGAAGTTTCTCACGTGGGTACCCTGATGCCACACTGGGATGAAGTCCCACATGCGCTACCCCACCTTTCCCTTCCTTGCCTCCCATACCCTAATTTCCACAAAAGGGAAACGCAGGCAGGAGGGAATTTTACCTGCCATGAACCATTTTTGCACAAATATCACTGTAAGGACTGTTGGTGTTCCTCTAATGCACCACAGCTGTGGACTGCCTGGTGTGGTCCGTACGAAAGCTTCTGTGAGGGACGTTTTTATCAAGTGCATTTCCCTAAGCCCATTTAGCCTTTTTGTTTTGTTTAGGTGCATGACCTGGTATGGGATTTAATACCCCTTAACGTGCAAGTCTTTTAATGACTTTCTATTTGAATGTGAACTGCCTCAGAGGTACTGACTGCTGGACCAACATAGGGGTATTTAAATTCCATCCTTCAGCTGCCACAGGGAGCTCCAAGACGGTGAGACTGATTCTTCCGGAGGATGCTGGACCCCAGACAGCTCAGGCTGGAGAGGGGCAGGGTGTGATGAAATAGCTACAGGCCTAGCAGAGATATTGGAGGTGTGGTCTGCCTTCTCACAGTTTAAAAGGCCACATGTGACGATATTCCCAAGCACCAGTGAGCTCTTAGGTGGTTTGCTAACAATCACGTGGCCTCTTGGAGGTGTTGCACTGTGGGCTCAGCAAAGGAGCAGGAACAATCCCACCACTGGGCTCTTCTGTCCTGTAACCATCTTTTGTCCCAAAATTTGCCACTACTGGCAGTCCTGGCCAGGCGGACCTTCGCGGTGACTACTGACATGAAGGCTGGGCTCCTCTGCTTCCTCCTGCGGCCTCTACATAGGATGGCTGCTGTAGTGTCACTCCTGAATGCACCGTATACAAGTTCTCAAGGAACAAAAGTTTCTAAATCAGCTCTGTGATACCTCTGTTTATGTAGGGGAAAACCCTTCTATCCTAAATTGAAGATTTGAGGTGTAGGATAGACAATGCCAGGACTTTTCAACCCCTAAAGCTCGGGGAAAGTCCAAAGCCTCTATGGGAGAACTTAAGGGTTTCACCCTAATTTTTTACTGACAATGCAAGCAAGTCAGGAGCCATTTGTTCATGTTTTCTGTTGGTCCCTTTTTATCAAAAGGAAAGTATTTTCTTATAAAAATGCTGTGGTGTTTTTGTTTTTTTTTTCTATAGAAAGAGCTGCTCATTTAGCTATGGGTGGGAAGATGGACTCTGGGATCCTTCTCCTGAAAGCTGGTTTTGTTTTTTTGCACTCTTGACTTGGAGAAGGACTCAGAATACCACCTCAGACATCCCACCCTTTCATGCCGACAACTTTGGCCCAGACCAAAACTGTCTCAAGTGCATATTACAGCTGATAAAGGAATTTCAGTGTAAAATCCAAGCTGATTAGACCCTGATTTTTGCAAAGTATTTTCAAATCCATTACTGAACAGCATTCCCAGGCAATGTGAAATCTCATGTTGATGGAGGCTTAGCAAAACGCCTGTGCTGAAGGACCACTAAGTACAGGGAGCACTTCTGTAACTGGTGCAGAAGCAGCTTATCCCCAAGTGTCTGGTGTTACCGGGAGGAGGCTCTCTGTGTCGGTGGGGCTGTGTGTTGCATCCAGGAGGGATAATGGAAGCCCTTGCTGGAACTGGTTGATTAACACAGACTATTTGATGTTACTGGCATGATGAGGTTCTCTTAACATCCTAGATCAGCTAGGATTAACAAGGACTTTGCACGTAAGCCCCGGTGATAAAAGTTTTTATTTTGTGCCAACCTCAACAATCTCAAGTACAGCCGAGAACTAGAAAAAATGTTACTTGCACATTTAATTATATCATGCAGATACTGTATCTATAAATATCTATTGATTTGCACTAATTTTATATGGTTTATTGTACCTTAAGTTGCTCTGTCCTCATTGTTTTCATGATAAAAATATTAAAAATATTTATAGATCCACTTACTTTTAAGTAAATGATTGAGGCCCAGCACTAGGCAGTAACGGAAACAGGCAAACCAATATTATTGTACATATATGTAGGCTTTAGCGTATGATGAAGATTACATTTTGTCTTTAATTTTTCTGCTTGTTTTAATATCAAAGATTCCAATAATACACCAGTCTGACTTTTGTACATGTCGAGGCCTGAACTGGTGAGCTTTAAGTAGGTAAAATTCAGTCCTGAACAGAAAATTATCACAATATTTATGTCTACAAACCATGCCTAAGCATAAGTGGGGGAACTGAAGCTTACTTCCAGCTGCCTGCCCGTATGGAGATGTTTTTCCCAGGCATACAGAACCCTGGCCAACAGAAATGTGAATCCTGTATATGAAGACTATACTGGTTTGGTTCCATAAATAACTCCAGATTTGGTGAAATCATCAACTGCTTAGTAATGAAATCAATGTTATAACTAGGAATGGCTTCAAAGTGCTCTGAAATGCATGGTTAGCTTCCCATGCAGGTAATCTTGTTTCTTGCGAGTGACTGTTATTTATTTAAGTGGTGCGACTTCTGTAGTGCTTACAGCTGTGTGCATTTTCTTCTGCTTGAAGAATCCCCAAATATCTTGTATGAAAATATTGGCGACCTTCTACAGTATCTGGTGAGTTTATCTGTAAAAGAGTACATGAAGGGTTTCGTTTGTACTTGTGACTGAAGGTACTGGTTATCTTGCACATTAAACCTGTATATGTAATTTTTCATGCTAATTATTAAGACTATTACAATGAGATTCATAGCAAGGATGAAAATAAATTATTGGAGGCTGCAGTGTACACTAATAGGCTGTAGATTGTTTTCTGCCCAATGCATTGGAGTTGTGCATTTGTGTAGTAAACGGGTGAAGGGTGTTTTCTGCATTATTTGTAAGTCATTACAGAGTGTAACTGTCTCTTACTGGGAATCGTGGTCCTTGTCCTTCTGGGTAGCAGCTGACTGCATTAGAAGTCAAAGGCACCCAGTGTCTTGATGGATTGGGCCTTAAGCGTCCCGATAGCTCGTAGAAGCTGAGGCCATTCAGTTCTGGATTGAGTTCACTCCCACTTGCAAGCAAGATGGTGGATCTGGATTGAGCACTAAAAAAGGCATTTAACTACCTACCCTATAGCATTTAACTACCTTACAGCATCCTCCTCTCCCTTCTGAATAGCAAGTCCCAGCTGTGCTGGGGCTGGAGGGCGGTGGGGGTGGCATTTGGCCAGCAGCACTCCCAGCGGGGTGGGGAGAAATAAAGCAGCAGGGAGCAGGAGGGAGGGCAGGCTGAGCTGCTCCGCCAGCCTGTGGCACATTTTAGCCTCCTCCGAGGAAAATTCAGTGGTTGTCAGTGCAAACATATTGTTGTCCTCTCCAGACAGGGTTTAGGAGAGATTAGATTTAGATTAGGAAATGCCCCTCTACATCGTGTAGTACATGCACCCTATTTGCATCCAATGAGCTGATGTTTCCCTCCCCGGGGATTTTGCACGTTTACTTGCACCTTCTGTGGTCATGCTGACAGCAGCCCAGTGGCTGAGCAGCTCTGGCCAGCTCGGTGGGGTTTCGAGTATTTATACACACAGATAAGAAGGGAAGAGAGGGAGGGAGCGCGTGTGCACACAGTGTTTTTTCATCTGATGTGTTCTGGGGATGATTTCAAGGTGCAGAAAGCTGCTTGTATGAAGGAGGCTGCACTATAAGTTCCAACAAAGGGACAATATTCATGACCAAGACAACTGACCAAGCCCAATCCTTCTGCTGAGAAGCCCCAGCTGCTACATCCCTCCTGAACAGACACCATGTACTCGGTGCTCCTGCTGGCCATTTCTGAGCTGAGGCTCTGAAGGACCGAGCTGTGGCTCTGCGTGCTGTGCTAGATCCACCTCTCTCATTTCTTGGCATCATCCAATATAGGACAGAAGTGACATTCTCCATAGCGGTGACTCTAGTAATACACTATGTGCAATAGGTACCCATGTTTCTCACTCAGTTTGGCTTAAGCAGTGGCTGTAGCATGGCTTCCCTGGCCGGGGGCTCATTCTCACTGCATTCCCCGAGGCAAAGGATTACAGAAAAGGTACCTGAGTGTGCACCCTGCCTCTTCTCTCTTCTAACTAGGATTAAAACTGCTCCTGCCAAGGGGAGCTGCAAGTTGGGACAAATCAGCCCTGTAAGACACTAGCTGACTTTAAGCGCTTTGCATTAACTGACTCGGGGTTTTTTAAATGTTAAATGGAAAGTGATCTAAATAGAAACCAGAGGGTGAGGGGGCAATCTTGGCTGTTGTGTTGAGGCGGTGGGGAGAGAGATGAGCGTGTGTGAGGCTAACTCCTGAAAAGCCCCTCCTTGGTGAATGACAATGGTGAGACAAAAACAAAAAGGTGGTCCCAGAGCTCAGGCTGGCTAGTGCAGGGAACAAAAGGCCTGGCCACTGACATCTGCTGCCTCCGGCATCTCTCCACTCTTCAAACAGCCTGGTCCCCATCCCCCTGCTGCCCCAGCCCCTGTCCCGCTGTGCTCCCCGGGGGACTCGAGGGAGAGGGAGGTGGTTAACCACTGAGGGAAGGCAAAAAGCAGCAAGGAGCTTAGTGAATTGAAGGTAATGCCACAAACAAATATTGATTAGTGCCAAACTGTCCATTAAACGAGAGAGATCGTTCAACAAGGGAGCCCTGACTGGCTGTCCCCTCCTTCAGAAAGCCATTTCTCTGGGTCCCCAGTCTCCTATGTGCCTCTGCAGCAAGCGCTGGGGTTTGTTTCACCCCTACGGACACAGACACCCTTCATTTCCCTTTCTATCCTCACACCTGCACATCCCCTTGCCCCTTCTCCCTTCTGCTTCTC